ATGATATTGTCAAATCAGACTTTATAGAAAGCCAGAGTTGGAATGCCATTAAATTTGAATTCCCTGCTCAGTGCAGGAGTCCCATTTGAAAGCTTCCAGACAAATGGCTGTTGAGCTGCCATTTGAACATATTAAGCAAAGGGGACTCTATAACTTCTTTGGTAAGGTAATCCTACTGTTGTTTGGCTCTGTTTGCAGACAGTGAATAGCTACAAAACCAAGCTGTCAGTTCTGAATTTCATAGGCATACACTCAGAAGACAGGAACTTGGTTGCCTTCCTTCTTTCATCCAATTAGTAAGGGGAGGAAACATATGATATGCTTTGACTTATCTTGGCACACTGATGCAACTGATGGATGCCTTTGATCTCTCTCAGCATGCCCAAAATTAACACAAACCCTACAAGGCCTAATAGCTGTTGCTAATGTTGCTTACCCACCTGAAACTTTTTTATCCAAATCAAGTTATTTAAGATATTTCACAGAAACTTTCTCATATGTCTCAATTTTCCTGAATTTATGTAATGTCCCAATCTTGTTTTATTTTTATTTTTCCCCCAGGTCTTTTCTTTACAATAATAATAAAGTATTTATTATATATTTTTATATTATTATTATTGTTGTTGTTATATTTACTTATTTTACTTTTATACTTTATTATTACTCTCTGCAGACATTCACTTTATATTACTGTAATATTTTATTATACTTTATATTATATTATACTTTAGTATTAGTATTATATTATACTTTATTATACATTATTTTTTTACTATTCAGATATTCACTTTATATTACTATTGCAGTGCTTATGATTACATTTCTCAGTTGTCTGGAAAAGGGTATTACAGTACTTAGACTTATATTTACTCATATATGTGAGTGTGTATGTGACAGAGAGAAAGTTGCGCATGTTTGTGTGTTTTGAGGCAGCCCTCAGTTTATGACCATAATTGGGAGCAACATTTCTTTGTTTAGCAAGGCAGTTAATTAAATGAGCTGCACTTGATTTTATGATGTTTGTCACAGTTGTTAAGTGAATCCACTGCAGTTGTTAGATGAATCACACAATCATTAAACAAATCTGGCTTTCCACATTGATTTTGCTTGCCAGCTGGGAAAATGACAAATGGCAATCGTGTGACCTCCAGGATTCTGCAACTGTTGTAAACATATACCGGTTGCCAAGAATTTGAATTTTGATCACATGATTGAGAGGATACTGTGAAGCTGTAAATGCAAAGACCAGGTGTAAGTCATCATTTTTTAGGGCTGTTATAACTTCAAATTGTCGCTGAATGAATGGTTGTAGTCAAAGATATCCTGTATACATGCAGGGCTCTAGGCTGGATTATAGATTTATAGTATAATCCACATAGACTGTCATTTGAAGAAGACTATTGTTCATCTTATTTTAACTCTTTTTTTTTTGTCTTTTGTGGTTTCTTAGATGCCACCAACCTTTTCTTTATTCTCATAAGTATTATATTTCCCCATCTTCCTTTTGCATCTCTCCCTCAAAATTACTAAGAGCCTATGTGCATTTAAAAAATGATAGCATCTTTTAAATTGACCTTAATGTTATTCTATGGGTACACTGTGTGTTTTTCTTAATAATTATATTAAGTGGTTTCCCAGTGCCTTCTTCTATTTTGTTTTGTTTTTAATTTTTCAGTCTAGCCCACAGTTTTGGTATTTCCTATTATTCTTCTACCCAAGAACTCACTGATTCTGACATTGCTTTATCTTGAAGATTAGAAAAGTTCATCCTGATGCCATTGCCTGTTGAGTTTGAATTCCTATCTACTCTTGCTGAAGTATAGTACTGTCCTACTAATGGATCATCTCTCTATTTTGCTCAGAGAACAACTAAAATGAGATTCTTCCAAATATTTTAGAGTCTTACAATCCTTGATCATCAAGTATGTTGGCTGGATTTTGTGGCATTTAAAATTTAAAAAAATATGAAAGGTACTATCTGTCCTCAAAACTAGGACATTATAGTTCCCAATACACTGAAGGCTATCTATATTTGTAATATTTCTCACCTGTATTCTGTATCTGTATTATCAACCTATCTTCCCCTTCCTTCCCTCCACCATCCCAATTAAAATCCTTCATGAGTTTAGCCACTCATGCAATTAATGAAGCAAATTGCAGCTCATGAAAGCTATGGTTTTAATAGTGTGTTAGTCAAAAAAAATTGCTACCAGACTCTCTCACCAGGAAAAACTCTGCTGCCGTTTTCCTTTTTCCTTCTCATAGATGACTGAAATTTTATGCAATGAAAGAATCTGGAAATATTTAAAGCAGAAATTTCAGAAATCATCAAGGAACAGATGGGAAGAAAGGGAGAGATCAATCTGAAAATAACTTTAGGAAAAAGCCAAAAGAATAACAATTTTGAGAATTTGGGAGAGTCTGATTTTAGAATGCAGTAGAGGTGGAACTAATTTTTATAGTTTGATTACTGTAAGTTTAAATGGAGAGATCAATAAAGCTCTAAGAGCTAAAGTTGCATTGCATTTTACTAATTAGATCTGAGGGCAAAATTGAAGGATGGGCTTGTCAGGAAAGGGAAATGGTTTGAAATTTGGGCAGAGTATAATAGATTAGGATCAGAATATGATATAGGTGTAATAAAGACTGCTTAGAAGAATATGGCTAGACAACCACATGGCTAAAGTAGAATTTATATTGACCAGAATGTTCAACTAAGAATAATAACAAATATGTTTTGTGGGATATGGCTGGTGAAAAAAGATTACTTTGGATTGATATTGTCTGAGACAGGATTGTAAAACTGTGAAAAAAATTGATATTTCAGAAATAATATTCGTTGAGGTTTTGTGAAGTTTAGAAGCTGAAATTTTACACCAGATGTACTTGGATTAACATTTTCAGTTAGCTCCAAAATTTAGTTCACCAAACTGAGTTTGGATTTTTTTTTAAACTACAACTGACCTCAGATGGTAATTGTGAACTTGAAATGGGGGTTGGAAGGAACCTGGCCATACAAGAAAGACAAGAAGAGGAGGAAGGGGGAGGACTTAATTTGTTGACTTGTAACTTGATTAACGCTTCCTTTCACCTTCCTTATCCACTTCTATACTGCTTCCACTTCTTTCCTCTTCCACCTGTTGTTTGCAAACCCAACATCCAACCCTATGACTCAGTTCCTTCTGAAGAAGCAGCTGGAGCTAGTCCAAGAATGCAATGAATCACTTCAAAGTGGTTAGCCAATTCTTACCAGTTTCACCTCATTATTGGAATCCCAACTGCAAGATAAGGCTGAAAGTTTTCTGAAAAAGACATCCATCATTACCAAACCATTTGCTTTAAAACCATTTTACTAAGCACTGGTAATTTACCACTGAGACTGTGGGAGGTGCAAGCACCTTTGCACTGTTGGAGAAAGAATGGAAGCTACTGTGAGGAACAGCATTAGGAAACTCTGAGGCTCAGAAGGCTGAGAATAAATATTGCAAAGTTGAGGAAAAAAAGATCCGAGAGATTGACAGTTTTAAGACTTGTGGACTTCAACTCCCAGAATAGCTCCTCCAACCATGTTTAGCTCAGGAATTCTGGGAGTTTAAGTCCACAAGTCTTAAACTTGCCAAGTTTGAAGACCCCTGGATTAAAGTCTTTTTCTCAGATGGTATACATCTTAAGGGTTGGAAAAATCTGAATTCTATAACTTCTTCTGCTTTAGCTCTCTTTTTTGGCCACGTATATCCCAAAGGATAGGTTACACATGAATTTCTCTATCCTAAAAAACTATGAAAAAAATCAATCCTTTATTATAGCACTATTAAGGAATAACAACAAAATAACATACTTGTCAGCATCAAAATTTTGATTTGCTGGTAATAATAAAAACTAGGGCAGCATGTTTTCTAGTGGTAAAGAAAAACATGCTTTCACTGTATCTCTCCCTCCTTTATTTGATAGACTCTTGATGAATTACCCCTTTTTCATTACATGTATCTTTGTTGTAACATCTATCCTAAGGTAATAAGCAAAATGGAGGGTGTTATGGAGAATGCCAACCTTGGCTGACTTGTAGAATCAACATAGCCATGGAACTACTTGCTCACATCCATTGTATGTGAAATCCACTCTGGGATTCCACTTTTAGAATCTTTCTGATTTCATGTTTCATGTCTTTTCCATAAAGAATAAAAGAGTTACTTATAATGTAATTTAAGATATGACAGCTACACTCATTCACTTATCTTAATTTGCATGGTTGCTAATGATTTGTTCTTACCTCTTGTATAATCTTTCCAGAAATTAATTAATTTAACCTTTTGGCTTGGATTTTCTACATCCCTTTTCACAGATGACAGATCCAAACTTTCACTGTTGTAGGTCTAACCATCAATTTATCACTCTCTCCCACAACATGCTTTTGCAAGATCCAACTGATTTCTTTGGAACATGCAAAAGAACATCAGGTTTTCTGGGATCTCTGCCCATTTCAGTACTGTGGCCTCAGGTGTCCTATAAACTTAATTGCTTAGAACAGAATCCAGATGTTGAACAGGCTGTAGTCAAAACAAGTTTTTTGGCAATATACAAGAGCAGGCTAGAAGGAGGATTTTCATCTTCAGATTTTTACTTTAGAACTTGGACTATGTCACTGTCCAGACAATGCTGTAGAAACAGTTTAATGATTGGGTAGATGTATTGAGGGTGGGGTTTGGCCCAGAAAGGGTGGCCTTAAAATCCTTTATACTATTAACAGTTCTAATGATCTCTCAAGTTTCCATATTTGGAGAATAAACTTTCATTTATTTATTTTTAAAGCAGGATAATTGCTATCATGTTTGGGAACCTTTTCCCTGAACCTTACAATACTTGTTCCCTTCTGCCAGAAACTTCCAACTAGATGGGACTTCTCTGATCATTCTTCAATGTTTTCTGAGTTTTGTCTTAAATCATCTGGTCCCTTGTAGTTTTGAATATTACAAATTCTTTTTTTTTTGGGGGGGGGGGGGTTATCTAGAACTGGGAAATGGGTAAAGCAGGAACTTGGCTTAGATGAGCCATTCTCCCAGTTCTACCAACACACTTTATCTCATTTTTATTAATCTGAAGCAATGATTTAGTCTGAAACACTACCATAACTTCTATAGCCTCCTCCATTTTTTTCCTGTTGGGCTTCTGAAGAGGAACAGTCAGCTAGAAGAGGTAGGGTTTATTTCTGGTATGTTCCCAGTGCAATTTTTGATTTGGGACATTGAAGTGGCAGGTAGGACCCATGATCAATGATATTGATGTTGGTGAAACAAACTTAGGTTTCCTGGAAGAGAAGAGATGTTGGTGGCTATCATAAGTGTGGTGATTAGTAGGATAGTAAGATGTGGCACTGGCAATTATCTAGTCGTGTTGGATCTCAGTAATGCAGAGCCTGAGAAATGGGTATCTTTATTGAGAATTGTGTTCTCTGAGGAATAATTTGGTGTAGGCTGCATGCTAAAGGTAGGAAAACAGAGTCAAAGTAATGAAATACATTAATAATTGGGAATTCAGTCTATAAGATTCAAGTGGCCTCTAGAGTAGAAGATTGGGGAAAACCATCAGCTGCCTTGGATCTCAAACACGGCGTATTTTCATCTCACTTCTCTTGAGGGAATAGTAAAAGCCTTTCCACTGGAACCAGTTAATGCCATTGGCATAAGACAGATGTGGTCCACCAAGGTAGAAGCCATTGAGGTTGGAAAAATGGCAGCTCTTGAACCACCAGGCACCTGATGACAGAGCTGCACAATTCTGCACATAGAGATCTTGGTCACGGTCAAATGTGGAGAACTTCTGGCCACTGTGATAGGACAGTGAATCACCTGGTGGGAACATCAAGTGAAATAATGGTAAAAATGAGACTTCATGAAGGTGGTAAGAATAAGGAGTAATGTCCTTGATGTATATTTGAGAGTAGATTCATAGGAGCCTAAATATACTGGTCAGAGATAGCTGGCACTGGAATGATTTCATGCACATCTCATAACTTATGTTTCAAGATTGGACAGAACATACTGTAAAAATCTTTTAAATGACTTCTAATTTCTCCATAATATATTCTGATCCCATATACCAAGATACAGAAGAAAACATCTGTCTTAGGGAAGAAAATTTCTGGTGTAAACATCTTGTTAACTCACATGTGGGTTTATGTTAATATTTGGATACCCCTGGCCCAGAAGAGTTTTGGGAAATTATAGACCCAATATATCAGAAAGACAGCAAACTGGGGACAGCAAACTGGGGACTGATCTATATACTAGGCTTGGGACAAATATCATCCTAGTATTCATGATAATACACAGATCCAAATTTATCCTACCCAAATGTCAAATTGCCAAGTTTGAAACAAGACCATGCTTTCCATCTTTTAAAAAAGATAGCTGAAAATGTGGCACAACTATCATATTGTAAATAGGGTTTCCTACCCTCATTTTGTGACTCAGTCTTACTCCATTTGGTACTCAAATGGAATTGGAAACCTGGGATCTCTTACCCGCCCCTCCATCAGTAAAGCCAGATACATGGAGAGTGTAGCCATCCTCTTCTGCACTGATTGCATTTGGGGAAAGGGAGAAGTCAGCATATTTGGCAAATGCGGTATTATTCTCAAAGTCCTCCAGCTCCACACGTAGCTCATATTTTTGTTTCAAGGTGAGAAGGTAGATATTTTGCAGTCCTAGACCAGGTGGGAATTAGAAAATCATTTGTGAGCACATAGTTCTGATGCCTTGGGAAGAAGTCCAAAGCACCTCATTTATTTTCCTACCCTTTGGGGATGATCCCCAAAAGTGCTGGCCAGGCAGAAAAGCAAGAGAATTCTTGGCTGAGCTTGCTGGCCTAGATTCATAATAAACAGAGCAATTGCATTTCATGATGTAGTTTTCTGGCCCAGGTTTCATCTGCTTAGGGGAGAAACCCAAACATTTTACATTCCAAAAGTTTCTGGCAAAAGGAGATGTCTGGATCAAGAGATGCATAAAATTATGAGACTGGGTAGAAGCCAGTGAGGGAAACGGTGGGAAAAATCAAGGGCTTTTGGTAGGGGCTCTTCAGAGAGGAGAAGAAAAAGGAAAAAGAAAAGAAGGAATAGGAGAAGAAGAAGTGTTCTTGTATCCATTCATACTTACCCAGCCAATATTCACCATCTGCTTTGCCAAAGCCAAACTTGTAGTCATTCCATCCCCGAAAGAAACTGATTGATCCATTGAAGCGTTTCTGGAAAACCTGCAAAATATAAGAGTTTTGAGAAAAGACAATTGTTAAATTAACATCAATTTGTCAACAGTTACTCTGAAGCTTCATTCCTGTCAACACCATGGAAAGGAAATAATCAAGGAGATTATACATTATGCTAAAACATGGTTAATTGGATAATCCAAAATGATTCATACACTATGCTAATCCTTACTCTTAACAGCCTTGGTTTAAGCACACACACAAAATTCATCACCCTCCTATTTCAAATGCATATTTGCTTGTTTGACTTCTGGTCTTTATACTCTGGTCTTTTCTGTGCTGAACATTATATCACTTCTACACTAGTTAACAAGACAAGGCAAAGCACTAAATTGGTTATATCTATAGAAGGATGGTGTTCTTTTGTTATTTTTGTGGCCTGCATCCATAAACAGGAAGACACCATACAAAATGTTCTGATGTTCAAATTAGGGAGTGAAAAGACACACATGAGAAACAGATACCTTGGCCCCATGAAAAAGAGTAGGACCTGAATTTGAAATATCCAAAATCATAGCCCCATTTGACATTAGAGGTCAATGAGTTATTTTTTTTTTTTGCCAATTCTTCTGTTCTAGTCCAATTTATCTGAGAGGGGTCTGTAGTGATAAAATGACACATCCTTCCATATTTGTCTTGAACTCCCAGGGGAAAAATGCTTGCAATATAAATACTACCAATTTCTTAAAGCTTTATATAGAGCAATATCAGCACCATAAATGATACTGAAACTACAACTGGAGAAAAGGCCAAGATCAAAGAAATCAAGGTTATGAGAACTTCCACCAAACTAGCACTGAACAGCCACTACAGTCCTTGGATACAGTCCTTGCTTCCATAGGATACACTTTCCCATTTTGTTTCCATCCCAGGGACTTCATTACCGTCCACTTTCCATCATCAGTGGTCATGTCACAGTACACGGGGACAGGGACGCTTGGTCCTGCTGGAAAGATGAGATACACGCCATCTGTCTCTGAACCTTGATCGTATATGTCCTCACAGTCAAGTGGAAAGGAATCTTCTCCACAGGGTTGAGATTGTTGAGCTGTCCCATTGGGAGAAAAAACACATTACTTTAAATGTAAATAACGCATCAAGCATATGACATTACTTTGGCTTCAAATTGACCATTTTGCTTTAAAGCAGAGAGTTAGTAGTCCAAGACTATAATTATAAATCTATTGCTGTTATTATTTTACAAATATCATAATTCTTTTGTTCAAGATCACCTTCTATTTGGGGAAATGTGACATTTCTGAGAATAGCTTAAAAAATTAAGAAATACATAAAAATACTACATTTTGTTAATCAAAATTTTGATTTTTTTCCTTCAAACTCTGAATTAAAATTTATATATATTTCAGTACATATTTGTCCAAATTTAGACACATTTTTGACTTTCACCCAATGTAAATAGTTTTTATAAATAATTTTTGTTACTATTTTTTTTTTTTTTTTTGCATTTTTATTCACTTTACTATCACGTACAGTACATGTATATTCATTTTGGAGATTTGAGGGCAACTGTAAAATTTTGGAAATGCTAACTTTTAATGTGCAATGCAGGTTTGCTATCCCAAAAATATAAAATTAGATTGTTCGGTCATTCAGAAATTATCTGAATGAATTTGTATGTGATCTTCTTGAGATTTATTCAGAGGAGGTTACTTTTAGATAGCTAGAACCTATAAAGTTTCTGAATTGTATGCATCCAGATTTTGCAGATCTTTCCAAACAAA